AAAACTGTACTGTAACTCTGTACATTAAAAACGATTCATAAATCCGTACCTCCTGCCCTTTATCTCCCAGCCCGGGCTCTTTTCCAGGTACATTATGAGAACTATCATCAGATCTTCTAATATTATCTCACCCTGGGGTTCCTTTAGCAAATAATAATCAGTCAGAAATCAAGTATGATTAATGAAACTATTAAAAGAATAGTTTACAAATTAAAATAAAATCATTTAAAACAACATATAAAATATATGTTTAAAACAATAATCAGATGAATAGAAGATACATATTCATTTTTTTGTGTCTGACCTGCATTAGATCTGGAATGTTCAGGATATCCTCAATCAGGCTAAACAGTAAATGAGGCAGTTCCAACTCCTTCCCCACTGTTTCAACATCCCCGGACTGACAGCTTTGAACAATGTTCCTGAGGAGCTTTAGTGGCTGTACAATTGAAGAGGCCTCTTCACCTTTCCTGACCAATAGCTAGACAGATCACTGAGTCTTTAATACACTAAATCACTCATTTACCCAGTTCAAAATCTCTTGTGACATTTAACAGAACGTTACCTGTTTTTTGGCTGAGAGCAGCTTGGTTTTTAACCTCGGAAGGATGGAGGTGTTCACAGGGCCCTGAGCACTTAATTCAATCAATTGTTGCCACTCAGAATCACTGTCGATATCTTGTTCCTGCAGAACAGATTTAGTGGAAAAACCTTGGGTGACAGATCTGACATTAGTAGAGTAATCCACAATACAATTTTAAGTTATTAAAACGACAACCTCACTGTCCATCCTGACAGAAGCCAGACTGGTCCGTGCATGTCCAGGGTGCTTCATAACTTGCCGGGGTCCCACCTCTACAGAAGGGAACTCCCTCTCGTAGTCTCTACTGATCTGGCCTTTATGTGGAGCTGAGCGAACTCTAAAAACAAAAGTGAACACAGGAACAATTTATATTTGAAAAATCTGATTCCTCGCAATATCTTTTACCCTTGGTTTAAACAAGCTTTTCGACTATTTCTCTTCTCTACATTTGGATTTATAATATATTCATTCCTTCATGCTGGTCAAAAACATCAATTTCACTGTCACAGCAGCATTGTTAATATGCCCTTTTTTAAGTTGAGGCCTGGAGGTTTTCAAATTCAAATTCCAGATGAGAATACTACCTGGTAACACTGTTGTCATTTGCTTGATGCTGATTGGTTCCTGGCTGAGATGAATTTTGATACACTGAAAAGGTGCTGCCCAATGAGTGGCCAGTGGTGGGGGCTCTTCCAGCAGAAGCTGTCTTACAGCGTGTCTGACTCGCAATCTCCTAGTAAAACAACATTTGAAAGCCCTTCTCAGCTGATTCCACATTTTCCCCACATTTCATTATAATGTAAATAGTCGAATTTTCACAAATCACACCAACAACAATTTAAATAAAGTTCATCTTACTGCAAAAATAAAACAAACAAGACGGGAAGACATCTAAAAGACAGATTCATAACCTCGTAACACAGAAAACGAAGAACTTCTTAGTTGTTAGCACGAGTTTACCCGTTTGTTAGTCTTCTCTTTCTCTCGAAGCTCTCTAGCTTTGCGCAGTAGTTTGCCCTCTCCATTGCGTGCTGTTGTCTTCTCTGCAGCCTGCTGGTGTTTCAGGGCCTGTCGGTCTGGGCTGGGTGGGACTGTAAGGGGGTTGCTCGAACCCTCATCTGACACCACTGTTAAAGCAATGAGCAGCCCTTTTAGTAACAATACCATATTTTCATTCTATTACATCATTATTATAATTTATTTTTATGTTTTTAATTATTTAACTTTGCAGATATGTGTACAAAGAAAATACCATTCATAGGATGATAAAAATGTAAGCAGTCCTCACTTAAAACTCCATCTGCAACAAAAGGGTGACGAAGCAAGTCAGGCCATGAAAGCCTCTTCTCTGGGTCTTTCATCAACAACCCTTTCAGAAAACTCTAAATTAAGAGAACCCACAGAAAGAGCAATTGAAAACGCGGTGCTATTTAATGTTACCACAACCATAGTGCATACTGACATAAAGCAACACTGTTGTTTTTATCTGTGTGTCAAACACTTAATCAAAATCAGACTCATTTGATTTAAAAAGTCAGAGTCTGAGGCTTTCATGTGGGAAGTTACTACTCTGTACCAAGCAGTCTTGGCTCATGTTCTCTGGCCATTTGACTGGATCTCTCACTATCAGCTGCACCAGCTGAAAGATGGAGTTGGTGTAGAACGGAGGCGCCCCCGTGTGGAGCTCATAGAGGATGCAGCCCAGAGACCAAAGGTCAGCAGAGTGGTCATAAGGTTTCTCTTCCACTAATTCTGGAGACATGTAGAGAGGCGTCCCCTTAATAGAGGTCAACACCAAGGTGGACACACTCATGGCACGAGCAAATCTGTGAAGAGTCACGAGAATATGACACCATTATGCTATTAGAGGTCACATTAAGATTAATATATATAGTCAAACCAAACATTATTCAGGCAACAGATATATATTTTTTGATATATTTTAATACTAGTGGGTAAAAAGAAATGATTTGGGACAAAAAAATTATTCGGACACTTTGACCTGACCATGTTTTGCTTAAGTGTTTTTGCTTTATTTGCCAATGCGCCCTTTTCACACCACATTATTAACAAAATTAAAACATTGCTTGGTAATTGGTTAACCTAAATTGTTTTTTATATAATTGTGTTCTTAGATATAACAGCTGTCAACTGACAGCTATTCAACCTAATTCATTTGTGTGACAGTCTAACAGAACAATGGCCAAAACCAATAAAATATCCACTGTGATAACATGACAAGGTCTTTTTTTTTTTTTTTACTATTTTCTAAACTATAGCGGAGAACCTGTGAAAAGTTGAAATGTTGAAAGTGTCTGAATAAATGTTGGTTTGACAAATATATATATATATAGTTTCTAAAGAACTACCAATTGGCAACACTAACCCAAAGTCACAGAGCTTTACTACTCCTCCTTTTCCCAGCAGGATGTTTTGTGGTTTCATGTCACGGTGCAAAATACGATGGGAGTGCAGATAATACAGGGCAGAAACAAGCTGGCAGGCTATTTCACACACCTACACAAGATAACAGGTTAGCAGGTGAGTGTGTCCCAGTTAAGAGGTCTGAGCAGCAGAAAACCCAGCACAACATCAAGTCAAAGAAATAAAAGTGATGAACTATATGACAAACCTTATGCATTTTCCAAAAATACATTTACTTTAGGCTACATACAATGTGTATTCTAATTTGTATGACTTATTTAAATTTCTTAAATTCATCACTGATGATATTATTAGCTTTTAAAGTCTAGAAAGATTTAAATGTGAACCAGGGGCCGATTTCATAAAGATTTGACTATGGCTAAGATACAGTAGTCAGACTTCAGATAGACATCTAAATTAAACCGTTACACAGACTCTGACTATCTTAAGTTAAATCAAAACAAAAAAACATGGCAGATCGAGTAAGCGCATTCAACAGCTCAGTGCAGTTTACCCCAGCAGAAAATATGTGTTTGTTGGAGGAGTATAACCATTACAAGGACATTTTACTTGGGATATTTAGCGGAGAATGTAGTAACAAGAAGAAATGTTAAATTTGGAAAGGGCCATTTTCCCTTTTCTTTAGGCTGTTTGTAATGTAACTGATTGTTACTGCTGGTTGCCAAGGTAACATAGAGTCTAGCCTGGGGGTAAGGTGTCAATTGTTTTTTAATTTAAAATTAAGTCAGTCTTTATTTTTGTGAAACAATCTGACTTGCATTTGACTAGTCTATGAGCAAATTTTCAACATGAAAGACCGGTCTAAAATAGCTTGTGAAACCGGCCCCAGGTCTTAGATAGTTCTAGCTTCATACACTAGTACGATTATAAATTAAATATACGTTAAGTTGGCAGTTACAATAAAACAGTGTGACTGCTGATGTACCTGATTTTCAGGTAAACTGCCATCATCCTCCAGAATTTGAAACAGCTCACCCTCTGCATACTCTGTCACCACAACCACCTGTCAGAGGAATACATGCTCTAATTATTCCTCTGACACAAATTCAGCCCTATTTTTTCTTCTTCTCACTGATACTTTTTTCTTTTACATAGGTTATGGGATGATCAAAGTCACAAGCTCACTGCTTTTGTACCCACACCAGTATCTTAATATTTAAACATTTTCAACACTTTGCCAACGAGAACTATTACCTAGAAATTTGAATGTTAAATTTGTGAACCCTGGGAGCTAAATTTCATTCAACGAGCCGTTACGCTGGAAGCACCAGGTCATACTGTAGGAACAGTGGAAAACGTAGCATGACTCGGGAGAAGGTTGTGACCGTCATACCTCCCTCTCTGTCTCAAAGCTGTCTAAAAGCAGCACTATGTTGGGATGCTTAAGCCCCCTCATGATGTCAATCTCTCTTTTCAAACTGCGCAGGTCCTTCTCTGAGCGGCCAACTTTGGGAATGAACTTCAGAGCCACGACCTAGGAAAAAAATGGTTCATGTTACTTGAATATTATCTGTTTAGATTATATTTGTTGTTTTCTTTGGATTTAATGTTTTGAAGGTGAGGGTTTTTGAATGTGTGGCTAATATGACATGTTTTTTATGCATTAATATTGTTTTTTTTTAACACGGACAATTATAAAAACAACCAGAATATATCACAATTTGCTGTAATGCAGACACAGAACTGAATAATCCATAAAAGTGACCAGCAAATAATTCACATTTATATCGCGAGACTCTAAAACGCGTGATTCTGATTGGCTGACTGATGTTTTAAGGTTTTAGTTTCTCTCTACGGTTCAGACTGAGTTTTAACCTAAATATAGGAAATTTGGTGTTATTATATAGTAAGAAAAAAAATGGCCTCGTATACATATCCCTAAAATCAATTCCAGGGGGAAAAGAAATTGGATTTTCTGACACCGCGGTGCACATGGGGTGCTCACCTGGCCGCTAAACTTCCTGCGGCCTTTGTACACTCGCCCGAATGACCCTTCCCCGATAACCTCCAAAATATGATACAGATCCATCATGAAGGCCGGAGTCCGGAGACTTTTCAGGTAGGTTAAGTAAAAAAATCAGAACAACGCACGTAAGCAAATCATTTAGCCAGTTTTCTCCTCGTGGCTTGTTTTTGCAACTGTAAGAGTTGCAGTATAAGGAAAGCAAGACAGACTTGCGACACGGACAAATTAGGTTTAGCTAGAGCACTGTTTTTATTAGATGAACTTTATCATTTGATCCTTACGGCAACTGCGAAACAACGCCTATTAATCGATTCATACTCCCGTGAATAATCTTGAATTTTATAACTAGTACAAGTAATTATAATCAAAAAATGGTCTCTGAAAAGAAATAATGGTTTCATGATACATCCATAGACAGTGGATACATCAAGAATAAACTTCCGTAAGTTTGACTGGCGCTGCTTTCGAGAAGAACAAAAACAAAAAGCGCCTAGCAACGTGGTGGCTCACAAATAGAAGCCCTTATAAAAGTTAGTGCAAATTTAAACAACTTATTTTGACTAGTATATGTTTGACTGTATATTCATATTTTGTTTATTAGCGGGATAGTTTAATATCTTGAAAAATGCATAACTTATAAGAGATAAATTAAACGAAGGGGGAGAAATTTGAACAGGCGATGTGTTCGTGTCCTCATTCACTCCTGTCACTAAGGGGGCCTTAACTTAACAACGCAGTGGCGTCCTGACAACAGTACTCTTGTCGAGAGGTAAGTTCCAGTTCCTTAGAAAAGCTGTTCTGTTCTATTCTGTAAAGACAACACACCTTCTTTAAGCCAAAACATGTTTATTTTTATATAATGGCATTCCTGACAAAAGTCTAACATCGTTGTCTTTAAGTGCTTATTGGTATTATTGGCGAATTATAAATGTAGGAAAGAGGGGAAAAGGCGAGCATTGCTTCTAATTCATTCTAAAACGTTTGGACATGTAAAAATGCATAATTAAATCCTGAATTAACTAAACTATCAGCCCAGGTTTTTGTTGTATGTTTACACAATATGAACAGTTTACAATTGTGATCATCATTTCTTGAGGAGGTCATCTTTATGATGGATGTATATAATCTCCTTCTGTATAAGAATAGAGAGGCTGTGTTAAGTGCAAATGATTCATTCACAGTTTCTGTATTGTCATTTAAGCCTTTCAAAAAGCCCTCCTAGTCTCATATGACAACCAGGAGCCAGTTCCATCATCTTTAGCCCATGATGTAGTGTCACTGAGAGACACCGCTCCACCACTAGTCTCCTCTGAGGTTACGGCTGTCATCTTCACCACTGCCAGATCTCCAGGTGTCACCATGTACGGTGGGCAGGAGTAGCTGGAGGCAGAGGTGTAGGATGCTGCTGGGTATGGGACATCTTCCAGGGGTTGTAGAGTATAAGGCTGAGAGCTGGATGGGACGGAGCTCCCACTGCGCCCCGAGGATAGACGGTATGGAGAGGAACCGCCAGAGTCAGGCCCTCCGAGAGATGGTGAGTCTGCCACGGGGACTGGACCCTCAGGACATATGACTTCTGACTGAGTGACTGGGTCCTCTGATGGCTGCTCCCAAGGGTCTCTCTGCAGCATAGAGAAATAATTATAACAATTAATTTTCACATTCCCAAAGTGCCACAAAAATAGGAAATGGAGACAAAATAGAGAAACACAGACATGATACAAAACAATAAATATAGTAAAACAAAAAAAATGATGCAATTCCTTATTGAAAAAACAACATTGCTTTTTAATCTTTTCATTAGTACAGTTAGAAAATGGGACAATGACTGACTTTTTTTTGCCCTATGTTAATCTTTCAAAAATACATTTCTGTATTAAAATAATTTTATGTATTTATATACTTGTGGGTGTGTCAAAAAATGTCAGGGTGATATCATAATGAAGAAGAAAAGCCTAACTAAAAGAATAAATTGCTTGAAAAAAAAAGTAGTAGTTTGGCATAATCTTTTTTTATTTTTATTAATAATAAAATAACCGTTTGTCCACAAAATCATGTTGTGCAACCTTTTTTAAAGTCAGTCTTTTTATTACAGGGCAATTATTATGTTAGGTTGTACACTACTTTTTTCATTGTTTTGAAAAAAGTCTCTTATTCTCACCAAGGCTGCGTTTATTTGATGAAGAAATACAGTGCAATATTTATTGTGAAATATTATTACAATTTAAAATATATTTTCTATTACAATACATTTTAAACTGCAATTTATTCCTGTAATATCAAAGCCTAATTTTCAGCATCATCACTCCAGTCTTCAGTATCACATGATCCTTCAGAAATCATTCTAATATGCTGATTTTGCTGCTTAAGAAACATTTCCTATTATTGTCAAAGTTGAAAATGGTTGTACGGCTTAGCATTTTTGTCGAAATCCTGATTTTATTTCAGAATGATTTGATTAACAGAAGGTTCTTAAGAACAGCACTTATTGGAAATATAAATCTTTTGTAACATTATAAATGTTTTTTTTTGGTCAATTTAATCTCCTTGCTGAATAAAAGTATTATTCTTACTTAATCTTACTGATGCAAATCTTCACCCAAAATATATGATATTCATGAATGATATTTACAGATTAACTATTAAATTCAAGATATTAAAAAAAATCCATGAAAAATATATTTAAAATTAGCTTGATAATAATGTTTTTTTCTTTTGACTTGATGGGCGTTTCTAGAGTTAAAACTTGAACAGAGTACATTTCTAAGAATGCTATCTAAAGGAGTAGAATTTGTGCTTTTCTTTATCCATGACCCAAATAATATCATCTGTAGGAAGTGTGAATACCAAGAGCAAGTGTGACGAAGACTCTCCACCAGACAGAGTTGGTAGTAGTGTTGGTAGTGTAGATGGTGGAAAAAGTGACCCTCCGCTGGTGGTATAAGACGCTGGCCCTCTGTAATCTCCATATGAATCAGGAGTGTAGTAGCTGTCAATGAAGGAAGGGTAAGTAGAGGGGTGGTCGTACGAAAAGGCCTTGCTTCCCAGTGCTGAAGAGTAAGTGTCTGATGATGAGTACTGCTTTATGGGATGGCAGAGGTCTGAGTCTGGGAGGAAGGATCTTCGCATACTGTAGTAACCAGGAAGCACGTGTGACCCTACAAGAGGAAGCAGGAAATTCAGTTAACTCCATGATTCAAGATGAATTACCCTCTCACTGAGGACACCTGTTAGATCTGAACATATCTAATTAGATCTAGCTGTGGACTATAGCTTTACCAGACGGACTCACCGGGCATTGGCACAAAAGCTGGCTGAGAGGAACTGCTGCTCGTCTGAAAACAAAAATATTAGAGAGTCATTGTCATTGACACAACATAGTTGTGTCTATGTGTGTGTGTGTTTCTCGTAAACTTCACTTAAGAAGACAGTGTGTAATGAAAACGCATGAAACCCCCTACAATATAAAGGCAAAGAGAAAAGCAGAACCCCCCCATTGGGCTGCTTTGTATTTTGCCTGACTCGCAGCCAGTGAGAATATGGAGGAAAAAGACAGGAAGGCTCAAGTTTTAGAGCTTGTTCTGTTGAAAGCCAGGCAAATCATGCGGGAGGATATTTGAATATGATTTGCCAGTGTCACAACAGTGCCCCCCCCCCTCCCCCCTGCTCTCCGTGTGTACACTTGCCTCCGGTGGAGTGTGTACTCTTCTCATGAGATTTTGCCACAAGAATCTAAAGAAATCATGGGATGACTGGGATCATATCCCAGTTGACTCTGCGACGTGCCGCGGAAGTACACAGTGGAATTAAGTTCATTTGTTTAGTAGATATTGTTCTTTGTTAGAGACTTGCTGTCAATACATGACATACATAGAGGCCCTTTTCAACAATGTTCTATAAAGGGAATTCTTATAGTTTATATTTATATTTTATGAGTGCTTTTTATTTAACTCGTAGAATATGTAATGGTTATGTCTTTGCTAGACCATTATTCAGAGATGTGTTGAGGCCAACCACCCCGTCTGAGGCATTTGCATGAACCGACTGGTCCACTGGTTTCAGTAAAGGACACAAAAGCAGACAACAACTTGCAGCAGAAGTTCACTTGAGCACAAGGATTGTCTGTTCTTTTGTATTTTGTTAGCAAATCCCTCAGTAATGACTCGGTTAAGGCTTGGGTTTAACCGTCTCCTGTAACAATGCCTGTCTGTCCCCTTTCAGGAAGGTAGATCTGATTTTGACAGGTGTGCCTGATATTTATCTCTTAAAAGTAACAAGGACATGACTAGCATGGATGCTCTGAATACTGTTGCTGTGTGAGAGATATATTACACTTCATACTTCTGTTTGTTTGTATATTGTCAATGATTTCTTGATACTGAATAGACAAAATACAAAGTAAAACACAAGTTAATACTTAAGAACATCAGACAACAAGACTGAGAGTGATGGCTTACACTATATCGGGGCACATTTGTTTGTCGTAATCGCTTCTCTGCAAGAAGATCTTTGACCGTGTGCTTGACTCTGACACCTTGGTATACTCTCTTGGAATACTCTGTGGGGAGAAAGAAAGAAATTTACAATGTTTTATGACTTTTATTAAATAAATATCTTGCATCAAGAAATGGAAAATGAAAAATAAATAAATCCCCTGGTTAATCTGATGTTTCTGGAGTAGCCTGTCATGAATTAGTAACAACTACAAGCATTTAAATGAACCTTCATAATAGACATGCAAATAAAGTATGTTCCCAAAAGCTTTCCACATGGATAGGGACTTTACACTTCAGAGCAGACTTTTCAGTTCAACAAAGCAACAATAGCCTAACAGTGATCATTTTTTAGAAGAGACTAAAACAAAATATTATCATATATGACTGTGAAATTAGTTATTGTTTTTTAATGTTTAGCCAGTGAACACTGGGAAATTATACAAAAACAAGAAAAAAAAATACTTAAATCAACCTTATTGTGGATGCAGAATTTATTTATTTATTTATTTTTTGGTTTATTTTATCAGTAGACACAGTGCTTTGTTTTATCACAAAAACTACTTAATATCCACACTTGTCACATCCTTCACATGGACATATATCTATCGATAGAATAAACCATAAAGAGGAATACAAATAAAAAATAAGTTGCATTAAAAATTTCCCATTGTTTAACTCCTTTAAAAGTTTCACAGCCATTTGATAATGTAGGTTTTTTTTGTTTGTTTGTTTTTTTTGCAGACTGTTAAAAAATGTGCATATTGAGGAATTGAGATCTCCAGCAGTAAATCTCTGTTTAACCATAACTGAGATCCATGTTGCACACCAATTCATGAGGACAAATAATTGCAAAATACTTATTGTTAAACAAACAATTTAACATAAAGTTGCCTATTATTGGGCTTTTATATCGTTGGGTTTCAAATTCAGACCCTTACAGGCAAACAGCTGTTTTCTCGTTTAGGAGTGAAATTTCACCCCAGTTCTCTTATGTTCACGGCCAGTTTTCAATGGTAGACTCGTATCTTCTCTCTCTCTCTCTCTTACTATCACCCCCCCCCCTCTCTCTCTCTCTCTCTCTCTCTCTCTCTCTCTCTCTCTCTCTCTCTCTCTCTCTCTCTCTCTGACACACACCTGTCTCATCTGTGGTCTGGGGTGTGCACGCACAGTCATATAGCCCGATGTCATATCCACCCGTTAACCCGTCATAATGCGGTAGGCTACTTGACATAGAAAGAGAAAAGGGTCTTAAATATTGTTCTGGTTTTAATAGAAGATACGACTATATTTAGGTATATATTTACTATTTTGAGACATCTGATATAGTCACGTGTCGATAACAGGCACTTTTAACTTATCGCACAAATTAATATATCATTTTTAGTGCCAAAACCCCCGCTGAGGTGCCGACATTTGGCTATTTTGTTTACATTTCTGTTAACAAGTAATTACGTCTCTCACAACAGCCCGTATTTCAAAGCACTTCATTTTCACGTTTCAGGCTATACGGATTTTGCACACTTACTGTTTAAGTTCTAAAACAGGGTCAAGCCAGATTCTTTAAAAAAAGTGAGACGTTCACAACTGTTAACTGTAACCTATATTTAGAAAGAGCGAACACATTTTATGTTAAAAACACTAAAATACTTTTCACAAACTCTCACCTGTCTCCATCATATTTTTAGCCGAGTGCTGCCAGGTTTCTCAGGTCTTCAATTTTGATTCCTATTCCAGCAGAACTCATACCATGTTCATTATATCAAGGAAGAAAGAAGATTTAAAACCCCAAGTATAGACATTCAGTAGCTTATGGTCAAGCTCACGCACCTCTATTCATACCCTTCACATGGCTTCGCCTGTGAAGCCTTCATAATTTGGATAAATGCAAATATCTGGCTTGGAGACGTTTCTTAATAATTTGCATCTACTGTAGATCAGAGTACACTATTAAGGCTGCACTGTTGAAAAAATGGAGAGACATTAAAAGCTGAATAGGAAAATGATTAAGTAAAAAGAGAAAAGTAATTGACCTAACAGTATGGTCTATTTAAACAAAAAAGATGAAGACAATGGAAAATAAATTAAACGTATATAAATCTGTTTTTCATTAGGGACTATTCGTTTTTTTTTTTTTATTTGAGATGAGATCTGTAGTCAAAAAAGACTTGACCCTTTTTTCTATGACCCTCCAAAATGATTGTGAAAAAAGCATGACCCTCCCCGATAATGTAGCCTATTGATTAGGCTACTATACTGGTTTGCGCTTGGCAAAGATGTTCAGATAGCCATTTTTTTACAACCATGACAAACGACTAAACTCCTGCTTTCTCGTCGGCTGTAACGATAGACCAAACATAGGCTACATTTCGGTTCATATCACGATTTTTGATTTGAAAAAAATAAAAAATTATAATAAATCGTGTTTTCCGTGCTGATGCAGTGGTGACTCGATCATGTAACATGTGCCAAGGGTGGCGCTGCCAATGAGCTATAAAGCTGCTACAAAGAACCGGCAGTTGGCCTATAGCAGCCATAGAGACATTTTAAAGGGTTAGTTCACCCAAAAATGAAAATTCTGTCAGTATTTACTAAAGCTCATGTTGTTCCAAACCTCTGTGTTTATTTCTGCTGAACACAAAGGAAGATATTTGGAAGAATGTTTTAATCAAACAGATCTCATTCCCCATTGACTATAGTAGGAAAAAATACAGCCTACTATGGTAGTCAATGGGGAATGAGATCTGTTTGATTAAAACATTCTTCCAAATATTTCCTTTGTATTTAGCAGAACAAATAAACACATAGAGGTTTGGAACAACATGAGGGTGAGTAATGCTGACAGAATTTTAATTTTTGGGTGAACTAACCCTAATTGTTTATTAATAAGTATTTGTCAGTGTCGGCTGCAATATAGCTAAAGGTGACGATGCCGACTCGCGATCAAAGCGCCAGAGAGAAATACACATTTCATACGAATTAAGCAGAGAGCAGTCTGTAGGCCTCTGTTTTCTTTCGTTTTGAATTGTTAAAAAGTAGACATTTCAAGCTTTCTATATATTTATCAGGTCTGTAGGCAAGTAGCCTACCCTAGGCTGCTGAGTTTCGGTTAAAATTATTAGACGAGAGTTTAATACCGAGGCGGTATTAACGGTATTCAGTGACATGGCATCTGACGCACAGACGCCAGTCACTCTGCGTATTGGCACATCCGGTCTTCATTGGCATGTGCCAGTGGAACATGTGTGTTGTGACCGTCAGTAGTGACTGACAGATTAATCGAGCACCTATCCTGACGTAACTGTGACACAAAATGCTAAATGAATAGCCTAATTTTGTGCTATTTTAAATATCGATTAAACGCATTAAAGTTAGTAGCCTAATATTTTTTCAAACTTTATTTGTGTTACATCTGTTAGCCTATTTGATTGGTGTGTGCCACCGAATGTTTTGAAATAGGCTACCAGTGCTAGCCTACTTTATGTTGTAGGCTATATCTCGAAAAGTCACAACCTGCTCTAGGACAGAATTAAATCTATCATCACTATGAATAACGTAGTCTCGTCCGTTACTGTAAACCTTTATTTTTGCGCAATGCTGCAGGGACGCCCGCACGCCAGTTGGTGTCAGTATGTTGAGTGTAACACTGGCCAGCGCAAGATTCTCATCTGTGCCTTTAATATTTCAAGTCCACAAAAAGTGTAAAAAAATAAATAAATAAAATAAAATAAAAATCAATTATTAAAAAAAAATTATGAGGCAATGTATCTGAAAAGGATTGCATACAGAGCTAGCAATCTTCTTTATTTATTCAAGTGCAAAAAAAGTGCTCTGTGCATTTTAAAAATTCAACAAACGTTTCGGTCACGCAGGACCTTCCTCAGTAGGCTTTAATATTTCAAAAATAATTTAATGGAATTATAATAATAAAATATTTTTTTGTTGTACAAATTATATGTGCATAGCCTATGTTATAATCTATAGCCTACTCAGGCAGAGATCTGCAGGTATAACTGGAGGTACCACAACATAAAGAGATAGTGACATGCCAACTGGCATGTGCCAGTGGATATTGACATGCCACTAAAACGTGTGACACCTACTGGCGGCCATGATGTATTTAGTTCGTCTTTCCAGAGCAGTTTGTGACTGCGAGATAAACAACATAAAGTAGCACTCGACTCGTATTTCAAAACATTCGGTGGCACATACCAATAAAATACAGACGTACACAAATAACATGTTTGAAAAAAATATTACTGACTTTAATGCATTTAATTGATATAAAATATCACAAAATTAGGCTATTTATTTAGGATTTTGTGTCACAATTATGTCGGGATAGGTGCTCGATTAATATCTGTCAGTCATTTACAAAGAGATATGGTGGGAAGTTTCTAAATTTATTAATGACAAATTGGATTGCAACTTCCTTTTGTTAAATGAACATGTAATAGGCTATTAGGTTTTGTCAAATATGAAAAACGTATGGAAAATGAAGCATATATTATTAATTTGGTGATTATTTTTGTTAAGTTTCGTATTCATCGTTGTAAATTTAAGAATCAGAAACCTCTTTTTTCCGTGGTATTGAAAGGTCTAGAACATTAGGCCTATATGGTTTCTATTAAGGACATACAAACAAAAAAGCTGTTTAAACCATTCATTTATTAAAAACATTTATGATTTTGTGAATTGTCAAAGCCTTTTAATGTCTGTTTGGTTTATTATATCGTTGTTTGTATCATAATTTTTGTATAGGCCTAGCTAACCCTGGCCCTTTTATTTTTGTTGTATTATAATGTATTTAATTTTATTTGTTCAAGTTTTGTAACTGTTGTTGAAACAATAATAATAATAAAAAGGGAAACAGCAAAAAAAAAAAAGATTAATCTGTCACTAAATTTAAAGAATATTCGTTTTTAAAAAATATTGCTGTCTTATTTTTTATATAAGCAAAACCAAAGTGTTACGAGCTTAACTAATTGACAAAACTTAAAGTGTCAAGTTATTGGATGGAAACAAATATTAGGCCTAGCCTATTTACGGATAGTAATAGATTTAAATAGGCCTAGATAGGTTTTTTTTTTTTTTTTCAGTGAATCAAATAAAAGGCAAATTTTGCTGGAACAGACTGTATAAAAACAATGTAGCATAGTCTACTTTATATATAGCCAATGTCATGCCTATTTAAAATAGAAAGCTGTTGTGAGAATGACGATTAAAGGTTTTGGAATCTCGCGCTGGTTTTTATTTTGCAAGAAACGAAATCGAAAGTAAAAAGTTATCAGGTGTAGGATAAAGGCTATAGCCTACTACGATCTCGGAGACGGTGAGCATATTTTCCCCTTTGATGATGATTTCCTTGGATTTTAGCTAAACGTAAAAGACTGTTTTAGTGCTCCCATATAGGCTACTAATTCAATCCACGTATTCAATCTTAGAATGGAGAGAGAAGTGTCTTTCTGTGGCTGGAAAGCTGTTGAAGACCGCAGTAAGTTGTCCGAGAACCAGGAACCGGAGTCTGGCCGTGCATACACAATGTTTCACGGAGCACATTTAAACAACGCCATGGCTATCATTAATAAAGGATTTGTACCCTCTAAAGATGGAATGCTGGGCGCCGGGGTTTATGTCAGTCGTAACATTAAAAAAGCCATGTGTTACCCTCTCAATACTGACGTCAACGACAAAGTCGTTTTCAAACTGCGGGTGCGTGTTGGAAAAGTGAAGAAAATAGACCGTGATAATCATCCTCTCATGAAATCGTGGCACAGCGACGGGTACGACTGCGCGTGGGTTCCGCCAAACAGCAAAATCTCCACCATCAAGTCCGGTCGCGAGGAGGACTGCGTGTGGGACCCCAGTCGCATCGAGGTGGTTGACGTGGCGTGCTGTGTGGATAACGAAAAACGCAGGGAGCTTCGACGGCTGGTTCGCAGTAAAATGAAAAACAAGGGCTCAGGCTGCTATCTTTGTCATCGCGACACTTCTTATGGAGACCATGATATTCAGCCGTGCTGGGGGTGCAAGAAAGAAATCTGCTGTTTTCAGGGAAAACACTCGTGCAAAAGCAGAAAGTCCAGAAAAAGAGACTGAATCTGAAGGCTAACTTCAGATTATGAATGGATTCCCAGACCTCCTTGATTTTTTTGACATCTAGCTATTTTAGGTTGTAGTATCCATATGAGTTTGTTATTATTATTTTTTGTTGTTGTTGTCTTTTAACCCTCTGTAAACCATATTTAGGCCTATATAAATAAAAGTTTCATTTAAGTTTCATCTGCTGTTTTCAGGGAAAACACTCGTGCAAAAGCAGAAAGTCCAGAAAAAGAGACTGAATCTGAAGGCTAACTTTCATAAAAGTTTCATCTGCTGTTTTCAGGGAAAACACTCGTGCAAAAGCAGAAAGTCCAGAAAAAGAGACTGAATCTGAAGGCTAACTTCAGATTATGAATGGATTCCCGCCTCCTTTTTGACATCTAGCTATTTTAGGTTGTAGTATCCATATGAGTTTGTTATTATTATTTTTTGTTGTTGTTGTCTTTTAACCCTCTGTAAACCATATTTAGGCCTATATAAATAAAAGTTTCATTTATCCATTAAAAGTTTCATTAGGCTTTTATTTTACATTATTTTGATGAATTGATCAGTTAAATAATGCAATATGCTAATTTAGCATCCATTCTAAACTTTAGCCGTTTTATGGTTTATTATGTGTTTAGGGTATTTGTTTAAGATTAACATTTTATTTAGGCCAGTTTTTCTCATAAGGATATAGACTGTTGATAGGCCTTTGTTTCTTGTGAAAACAAACAAACAAAAATATCATAGGCCTATAATCCAAAATATAGCCTATTTAAATATTACATATTATAGAGTACAGTATATAGTCTAGTTTTTATATCAAATTGTTCATTTCTCATAAGGATTTGTACATTTTTAATAATAGGCCTACTAATTGTTACAGCTATGATTTTATTAAAACCAATCATTTAATTAAGTTTGTCTACAAATATTTTTTCAAATGTTTTAGAAAATATTTTATTTCTTAAATAAACTGAGTATTTTTCATTATCAAAAATTTTAATTGGTCACCTAGAACGCATAGTTTGTAGTGGAGAATAGGCAAAAAAAAATGTTAAAATGAAGACAAACTGGTTTTATTATTATAATAATTAGTCACCTAGTAGAAAGAACATGGTTTTGTCCTTGTAATATGCTAATCCGATCTGACTGAAAGTATTTTTGTTGTTGAACTTCACCACTGCTGCAGTAAGAGGGCGCCGTTCAGTCGGTTTTTAATGACTGAAGTCTAATCTGAGGTGGACAGTTTGTTCGATGTTAATCCAATTACAGTGAAGTAGATTAGTAGATAGACTGCAAATGTAGAAAGCAACGACATGCAAGGCAAACACCAATTTAATATATTGATAATATTGTTATACTGACCAAATCATTAACAGCTTTAGAGCGCATCTACTTGACGATAATATGGTCACGGATATAGTTTAATTATCAGGAACTGTGACCTGCTCAGTCTCTGCACACATCCTCTCTGAAACGGTAAGTTTCTCCGAATGTTGTTATTATTCGTTTGGAGAGTTTAGCTGCGTTAACCTTTTAACCCCTTAAGTGTTTATAGATTCTTGTAGAAGTGAAATATGAAGAAACTGAAACAGAAAAAAGTTAACAGTAAAATTTTGAGTTCGTGAAAATGTACAATTTTAAAATGTAATTATTTATATTTTATATAAAATCTATATTTTCAAAACATTATGAACTCTAAAACTGCAAGAAAGTCAAAGCCAAAAATGTGAACAAGTTGTGTTTTAAATGGTAGGCTACCCCCCAAAAATGAGCTTTCATAAGATTTTGTTTTGGCGCAGTACCAAACTGAAGAATTTCAGACCTTTTTTTCTCTAAAAAAATTGAATGGATGTTATCTTTTGAACTCTTTTCATGAAAACCATTCTTTCATGATTTATCATGTCCATCACTATTTCAAAATAAAGGTTTGAGCACGCCTTAGATTATGAAAATTTTAGTGTTGCAAATTGTTAAATTACGGCTCCTCCGTAATTTATTTTGAAAATCAATCAACATATATGAAAACTAGAGATTGTAAGCTTTCAAATGATATATAGTTTGTCAATTAGTTTAGGTTCAGTATAGGATAGGCCTATTACTGTTTTAAATATGTAATGTGACTACAGGTAATAATGTAGAATGGCAAAACAAGGCACTTTTTTAAGAAAACGGGTCATGTTTATTCACGTATTGTTATATATTTAATCAGTTATATTTGCTATAATAAAAACTTTAATCATTATTATAGTTTATTTTACAGTCTGTCTATCTCTTTCCAATTTAAGAGCTCTGACTTGTGACAAAATGCCTGGTGTTGCCAATCCAAATCATTGGAGTCTCTCTGAGTTACTGGGACAGAGGAGCATTCTTGGAGTTGTAGTTCTGATTACATGGTTAGTTCTGTTCCATCTTCTTGTGAATGTGTGGCTGCTGTGCATCTTCACCAGTCTATTGGTAGTGCTGGCTGGATGGCTGGGCTCTCATGTCGCTTTGGATGCCAACAGCCTCCTTCATTTGGAGCACTTCCTGCCCCTGGGTGAGTCCCCTCAAGTTCACACTGCCTCAGAGAGTGACCAAAGACTGGACTGGGAGATTCAAAGTGCTGTTGACAAGGCTGTGCGGGACTTTGTGTCATCCTGGTACTGCAGTTCTGTTACTAAAGGAGGGGATGCATTTGAACAGGAGGTGAGGGACACTATGCTGGAGGCAGCTGCTGAACTGAAGAGGAGAGCGAGACAGGTGGACCGGAGAGCTCTGGCCCTGAGGATTCTTGAGCTTTGCGGACGCCATCTGCAGAGCTTCAGCCAAGCCAGGGAACTTCAACGAACACTGCAAGAAGAGTCTGACCAATCGCTTTCAAATTCACAAAAACTATGGAGGTTGTACAGTAGAGCCGATTTGCCTCACCCTGCCCTGACTGGACCAGCTAACCAGCTCTGCTACTCCAGAGCGCTGGTAGATTTCCTCATGCACGTCCTTATTCCAAAATCTCACTTGGAAACACGAACAGGCTGCTACATGGTGGGAGAGCTCTTAACATGCAATGTTCTTTTGCCCCTTGTGGCAAGAATATCCAGTCCAGATTGGTTAAACCAGACCATCGTAGATGTGTTCACTCAGTCCACTGACAAAGAAGAAACAAGCTCACAGCAAACACCTCCAGCAGACCTGGACGATTCCCAACGAAGCTTCTGGGATCATGACTCTCCGGTTTCTTTCGACTGTCCTGAAACCTCCAGCATGCAGACAGCTTGGTCTGTATCCACAGCCCCCCTCCTTGATTCCTCTGAAACAAGTTTCCAGAGTCAGTGGTCCTCTGATGAAAATGTACATAGGAGAAGAAGTTCTGGCTTACTTTTTCCAGAAAGAATGGTCCAAAATACAGCTGAACTTCTTAGATCTCCATACCGCACTAGCCGCCTCTATAGACACACAGACTGTGACCTGGAATCACCCTGTTCGGATGAGAGGAAGATATCTAGTGACTCTTTGAAACGAACAGACTCCGATGCTGAGGACTTCTGTGACTGCATCTCTCCTTCAGACTTTTGTGGGCTGGTTTGTCTGGAGGAAGACACATTGGGTATTTTGGGGAAGTGTTTCAGGCAAAACATTGTTTCAGAGCCTCCTTTATCACTGGAGAGTATAGTGGAAGATTCTCTGGTCCGACCACTGACTAACCCATCAAACTCCATCCCAAGAAGCCTTGGCCTGGACTCATTCGTTTTTGAAAACTTGGCGAATTTAGAGGGACAGGTATCTATTCAGAACTTGCAAATCGTTGGGACCATCACAGCCAAAGAGCAAAGAAGCAACAGCACTCATCCTTATACTCTTTACACTGTAAAGGTGAGATACTCACACATGCATCAAACATCTCATGTTAAATACAGACTTTTTTGTTGTTGTTAAATTTGGTTTGGAATCCGTTGCATTAGGGATTTCATGAAAAGCAATGTTTTTAGGCTTCTTTCCCCTTTTTACTAATTCATTATCAATGTATTGTGTCTTTTCGTTTGTAGTTCGAAACTGCTTCAGATTCAAATAGCTCTGATCAGCCTGTCACATATCATATGGTGAACCGGCGCTACACTGAGTTCCTCAATCTGCAGGGCCGTTTGGAGGAAAGGCCAGATCTCAAGAAAGTGATCAAAAGTAAGACATTTTCACATATTAAAAATTAACATAAATACATTTAAATAAAATACACTTTATAGTCTCAGATCTAATAAGTACATCTTGTCAAAGTTGCATAGTACAAAATATTAAATAATTAAATTGCTCTCAGAATGGCATTATTAATCTACTGACTAATCCTAGTATAAGTGTTGTGCGTTACCAGTCACCTCTGTGGAAGCACTGGTATAACTGTCTTTTTAAATTCTGTTTTCTTTTTTTGTTGTGATTTTATTTTTATGGAGGTGTGTGGGTGTTTGTAGTGTTGTGTGGTGTTCTAATGGACCTTGAGTCTGGCAATAAAGATGAAATGAAATGAAAAATGCAATGAAATAAAATTCTGTTTAAAAGTTTGGGGTCAGTAAGATATAAACAGAAATGTATACTTTTACTCATAAGTGACAGTGAAGACCTTTAAATTGATAAAACAATCTATTTCAAATGCTTTAAACATTAATTAATAAAAACTTTCTATTCATTAAATAATCCTGAAAAAATGTTTCCACAAATATTAAGCAGCACAACTGCATTCAACATTGTTGCATTGTGTGGTAGGGTTTCATGTGGCTGAAAGGAAGAAGACAGGGTCAGCGTGACTGGGACTAGTACTTTTTATTAACTCAAAATATGAAAGAAAACAAAGGCTGCGCCACAATCACATTCACTGTAGCCTCAGCTACAGCAATGTTCATAGAACACTCTTCCAGCTGAATCAGCTCACAAATCACTTAGATAAACTCTTTATGCTTTACCAGCTCTCAGTTTACGACGCACAAAGACTCTTTCCGCTGTATCAGCTCTCAGTTCACATCAGATGAACACTCGTCCCGCTGCACCTGCACTCAGTCCCGAGTCTATCTCTCTACAGTCACCAGATCTCAACCCAATAGTGCATATTTGGGATGTGGTGGAATAGAAGCTTCATGCCCTGGATGTGCATCCCACATCTTCATCAACTGCAAGATGTTATCTTATCAATATAGGCCAACCTTTCTAGAGAATGCTTTCAGCACCTTGTTTAATCAATGCCACGTAGAATTAAGGCAGTTCTGAAGCGAAAGGGGGTCAAACACAGTATTTGTATGGTGTTTGTATTGTATGCATCATCTCGACTCCATATTAAAATATGTGCTCACATTTCAGATGTCAAAGGTCCAAAGAAACTTTTCCCAGACCTTCCCTTCAGCAACCTGGACACAGAAAAAGTGGAAGCCAGGAGAAGCCAACTGGAATCATTCCTTAGGGTAAGAGATTTCCCTTCCCTAATAAAATGTTTCGGGCAAATTAAATGTGACTTTTATACAAAACCCTGGTCTCTCACACCTTTTTCCACTCCTGCAGAAACTGTGCACCATCCCAGAGGCAACTAACAGTGAGGAGGTGCGTGAATTCCTTGCCCTCAACACTGATGCCACAGCAGCTTTCCAGAAGAAGCCGTCGAGTTCACGCATAGACAAGGTCCCTCTGTCCTGAAACAAGATATACTTTTGATTTCTTTTAATGTTTAGAAAAGACTTCTTTCTTTTTAAACTTTTATTTTGACATTGCTGTTTAATTTTGCCTGTCTGCCTGTATGTTTTCCTAATAAACAGATGGTTGAGAACATAGTGGACACCCTGAAGACGGCATTTCCACGCCCAGAGCCTCAGAGCCCCACGGAGGAAAGAGACCCACAAAGAAAGTGAGAATGAGACTTAACACATATCAAGCATGCAAATTAATAATTCTCTTGTTTTTAATTCCACAAACTGTCCTCTCATATTTCAGGCCTCGTCTGAGATTCTCCAGTAAAATAGCTCCTACTCTTAACGTCCCAAGCCTGCAGCCTAAAGTGACATACTCGTTCAGTGAACGCTGCTCAGTGAGTTCTTCATGCCAATGCCACATAAAAAGTTATTCATAATCTGTCCATGCATCATTCACATAAAAAAAAAGTTATATTGAGTATGGCAGGGTTTTTACTTATTTGAAATGTTTTTTGTCATATATACCCATCAGTAAGGCTCAGTACCCCTTAAAGCTGGGATACACAACACAACTTTTTAAAGCTGAACAGATTTTAAAACACTAGACATCATACACCTGCCGACATTGTTAATGGTTACAAAAGAAAATTTGGGCATCATACACTATATGACTGATGATCACACTCTACAATACTTGTTTAGCTTATTCTGAACACAACAAACTCATGCAAAAACACACACCTCGTTGCTAGGAGAAGCATGACAAATAATAAACGATACAGGTTTCACAATATTACGCTGGTTTTATATCTTCTCTCTTGATGGATTCATAGTCCAAAGTCTGTGCCCATCATACACTTTTCTGTGAAATCTGTCAACTCTGACTGCCCGAAATCTGCAGACTGGCGCACACTTTCAGCAACTACACTGCTAATTGTGATGAAATTCTAGGGAAATGTCATGTTGTGTATTTCAGTCTTTAATCTACATCAAACCTTAAATTTGTTCCTTTATTTCCAAAATGTATGTTTTATGGCATTCAGTGAAAAAGAAAATCATGAGAACCGTTGTAATTAATTATAGCCACCCTTTATTATTTCACAGCAGTATATGTAGCCTATATATTTTTATTATTTTAGTTTGTTTTATAGGTTTTGCAAAGCAAAAGCAAAATAATTGTGAAGTACTCCTGAACCCTGTTTAGGTACTCCCAATTGTTGGCACGTATTGTGTTTATTAGTGATAATGACTTTTTTCAGAGTCAGAGTAGCTTTATTATCATTTCAGCTCTATAAAGGCTGTATAGAGTGAAACGAAACAATGTTCCTCCGGGACCATGGTGCTATATAAGACAAAAACCAACAGTACACATTTTACATGGAACAGGGCACAGTAGTCTGGGTTTTTGAGTGAGAAAATGAGTTTGTGATGATGCTCTTCTCAGCTTTTCTCAATATCTGCTGCAGGTTCTTGTGATCTGAGATGGTCAGATCCCTTTGTAAAATGTTGTGAGGATGGGGGGTAGGAGATGGGCTTTCTTTATTCTTCGTAGAAAGTAGAGAGGCTGAAGGGCTTTCTTCGCTATGTTGAGAGACCAGGTGAGGAGCTCCACGATCTCCACGGAGGAGCTGTCGTTGCGGAGTGTTACGTACTTCATCCCTTTCTGTAGGTTCTTCGAGGTTTCTCGCTGTCAGATCTGGAGGGGTTTGTTGAGGAACAGGAAAAGCTGGTGGATGGTGGTGTCAGGAGTCATTTTGCTGGAGGAAGACACATGAGAGAGCAGAGACCTGTAGAAAAGAGAGGAAGAGGAGCAGGTAAATAAACTTCAAAAGCAGAGCTTGAAAACTTTTTTCTATTTTATTCTCATGCATATTAGGATTGTGTAGGATAAGGTGAAAATTAACTTTAATTTAACTTTAATTTAAAAGATAACTGTGAGGAATGCTGTACACCCTATTAAACAGGAGATGGCAGCATATAATTGATGAATGAGAGCTGATTGAGAGCGAGTTGTAGCTTTAATTATTTTATGTGAGATTAAAACATTTATTTGATACAATCTAAAATCTAACCCTACCTTTACACTGCCAAATTTTGATGTTTGTGATGATGCAGACACTGCCCTGGCAGATATTGCTCTGAATATCTTGTGTTTGCTGATGAAGGACCAGTGGAGCTGGCTGTGTACAGAAAACATCCAGAAAACCATTAGACTGCTCTTTGGCACTTTTATTGAAAGGTGAGTACACGTTTGACAACTTTGAATTTGTACCAAAAAAAAAAAAAGATGTATTATGATAGGAGTGATATCATAATACATCAATACATATGATAGGCTTATGATAGTAAGCAGACAGTACACTATCAGGAAAAAAGGTACAAAGCTGTCACTGGGGCTGTACCTTTTCAAAAGGTACACTTTTGTACCCAAAGGCTGCATATTGGTACCTTAATGGTACATATTACCACCTAAAATTGACATATTAGCTCATGAAATGGACATATTAGCACATAAAATGTACATATTAACGCTTAAAATTTACATATTAGGACCTAAAATGGACGTATTAGTTCCTGAAATTGACATCTTAGCACCTAAAATGTACATATTAACACTTAGAATGTACATATTAGCACCTAAAATGTATTTATTAGCACCTAAAATGTACATATTAACACCTAAAATGTACTTATTAGCACCTAAAATGTACATATTAACACCTAAAATGTACATATTAGCACCTACATTTTACATATTACTTAAAATGTACATATTAGCACCTAAAATGTACTTGTACAAAAGTTTACCTTTTGAAAAGGTACAGCCCCAGTGACAGGAAAAGTGGGTGTGGGGGTGTGGGGGGGTATGTCTATATGACAGTTCTGAATTGTAATGCCCATTTTCGTGGTGTATCTTTTATAATCTACCCTGTGTATGTTAACACAATGATCAAACCACTAAATATCCAGTAAACACTTTGCTGGCCATGATGCTCATTGTTACCCTTGAGTAATAGAAAATAAAAACCCTTGTTCATTAACGCACATTAGAGTTTGTTGTTGACAGGAAAATCATTAGTTATGAACCTGAGATTATTGTAGTATTCCATCATGCTGGCTTTAGAGACAAGTCCGTTTAAAGCAACAATGTAGTCACTTGGTATGATATAATGGCTTTTCTAGGTGATTTTTTTGTTTGTTTTTCAAAAGACCCTGACTTAACTGATCTATGAGAACAAAAAAACACTCAAGAACAGCAGGGTCATGTTCAAAGTATGTTGAAAGCATTTTTTGAGGCGGGGCTGATCATTAATGGTTATTCAATCATTCGTTTGCGTAAGTCCTCATCAGACTTTAAGAGGGGAAAAATTCTTAAAACCATAGAAAGCAGAGCTTCTCGTGCATGTGTTGCACTCCACCCAATTAGAAGTAATGGAGGGCGAAGCGCAGGAAGGTGATTGGATGCAGCAGGGCTGGCTGATAACTGGCCAGCGAGCCATTCAACAGGATTGCATCTGGTTCAAGAGCCTTGCGTCATTTGTGTGGGCCAGACATATGTAAGCTGTCATAAGCAGTTAAGGAAGTGATGGCTAAAAAAACCCCAGCACATTGTGTAAAGACCACACAAGCCACTGTGTCTGGTTCACCATACGGTCCCAGGATTAATGAGTCCTTTAGTTTAATGATCATTATTTATTGTAGATTAAGCAACAATCTCATCAGGGTAACAGATTATTATCTGGCCTACACATGCTTAACAAAGTACACAAATGGTTCTGTGATACGTTTGATAAATGGGAGGCGACTTTAAACCTTTTGCACTCAATGGCCCAGCGAGAATAGACAAGTAAGTATTGCCTGAGACAAACTGCCAGCTGCGAATCTGCATTATATGATCCCCTGTTGAACTTGATCGCATTTTTTACTCCAAAAGGAATCATAACAATGCATGAGCGTGTTCACATTTCCTGTGAGCTTATGTCTTCCTCGCGAGGATTACAGCATTTTTACAGAATGTGCTGTCACTCACTTCCCCAGAGTACATTACTCCTCATGCCAGCACTAATATTTGTTGCACGCACAGTGAAATATCCTCCATCAGTGCTTTCTGAACTTTAGCTAGAGTGGGTCAAAATGTTTTCTATGTTTCTCTCTGTGTAGCCAGAGAAAGAATGTTTATTGGATTAACAAGTATAATAAAGGTGTTTATTGCTGAATATTTTTATATCTTGTGTGTAATATATTGTAATATTAGTTTTTTATTCTGTTTAATGATACTATGAATGCCTACACTTTAGAGTCAGTCAGTACATTCACAACAAAACTTTGATTATAACTGTCTAAAATGAGTAAATTATCAAAATCTGACAATTGCTGAAACTCACATTAACGTAGATTGTGAAATTGTCAGGTTTTTTTACTCTGGTTTGGACATTAAAATGTCAACGGAAACAAAATGTGCAAAAAACATGCCAGTACTTTATTTAATAAAACAAGACCTTTATTTAATAAAACACAGCTTATGCCATTTGCATGACTAATAAGCATCATTTATGCAAATAATTTATGTGCATGTAAACACACTGGGCCCTATCATACACCCGGCGCAATGCGGCGTCAGGTGCAACGCAAGTGCCTCTTGCTAGTTTCAGCCCCACACAGTTTTTCATCATTTTCACGTACTGCACCACGTTGTTTAAATAGCTAATGCATTTGCACCCAATTGTGTTCCCATGGGAGTGCTGGTCTGATAAACGAGGTGTGTTCAGGCACATTATTGGTGCGTTGCTATTTTGAGGCAACTGAAATAGACTGCTCCTTTAACCAACTGAAATCTGGTCTAAAGTCAATGGCAAAATTTTTTGTTTGTTATTTAAAGAGCACATTAATAATATGCATCTATTAGGGGTCCACAACAGGCATACACTTTGTCTCGTTGATGTTCGATGATCGCACGCTCTAACCTTGCACACCCACCATTTTTCCTGTTGTTAAACTAGGAAAAGTGGATTCGGACACGCCCTGAGTGCGCTTGCGCTGTGCACTTTAGACCATGCAATTGGATTGTAAAAATAGGGCTCACTCTGTTACTTTGTCATATATTTATGAGTAAATACTATGGCCAGAAGCAAACATTGTTACTGTTTTGTTGAAACGTTCCCTCTGACATGCATAAACATGCACCAATGGTTTTTGACCATTGTTTTACATTTGCTTTTTCAGCGACTTGCGTCTGAGTGTGGAGATTTCAAAAAAGACATGTCAAGCAGTTCAACTTTTAAAGATGCATCTCGGGACCTTGCTTGTTTTTCCATTCCATTGCAAACCATTCTGTGTAAATGGCCTCTTTGTTCATTCAGCTCACTGCAGTTCGCTAAATGCTAATCTAATCAGTGTTTTTCATAATTGGGAGAAATACTAGTACAGGGCTGGGCAAATCTGACCCTTGAGAACCACTTTTCCTTCAAAGTTTATCTCTAACCCTGATCAAGCTCTTTACCCTAACTTTTTTTGTTGGGGTTGGCACTCCTTGCCCACCTCTGGACTAATAGACTGACTGCATCGTTACATGAGAGACTGTCTAAAAACAGTATTGAATTCTCTTTGAAATTCAGAAAGGACAAACATGGCAAGGGAAAAGTTGGTCAAATTTTTCCAAAATTATTTTTGTTACATGATTGCTGAGAAAACGCTAAGAACGTTAATTTTAGATGCAGATTAGCATTTGTAAATGATATATGCTCAGATTTCAGGGCTTCATTAAAAAAGTATCCCATGTGTCTGCAATTCTCCTTCATAACGCAGAAGGCCTTGTCTGGTCACTTTGAGCATGTGTTTCTCGCATTGCCGTATTTAGGTTTGGGATAAAGTTAGGATTTTGGCCTCGCCCTCACTAAAAGCGATACACACAAGCCAAACTTGTTTTTCTGGAAGGTTATATTAGGCTGGGCCTTATGTCTGTTAAATGATGTGACAGTTAATGCTGCCGTTGTTTGTATGACATCACCAGCACAGGAGAGGTGTTAATTAGTGTGGCTAAAATCAGCACCTTATGTCAGCTGAATCTAAAGCTATTTTCTATGCATGACATCGTCTTCACTATTCCATGTGCAGTTACTCTGGCATGTTTTTTCCAACCAAGTTGGAGAGTTTATGTGGTTTGGGGTCAGCAAAATAATTGATGCTAAGTATAATTAGGATTACTGCAGTTTTAAAGAAATATTTCCTGTAAGAGGTGGACAGAATGTTCTGATGCTGAGAACAGATTTGAGATGTATGAAGAACGGATTTTAGATGTATGAAGTGTTGATGCAGAGTTAAGGATATTTGGTCAGATTGATTGACTGGTTATTGCAGGGGCATAGCCAGTAATGGGCCAGGGTGGCACTGGCCTGCTCACCTTTGCACTCCCCGAGAAACTTTGCTTTCGCTCTCAAAACCTTTGCCTTCCCTGAGACACGTTGTGTTTGTTGGCAAAACCTTTGCTTTCCCCCGAGAAACTTTGCGTTGGCTCGAAAAACCTTTTCTTTCCCCAGTGAAACTTTGCGTTCTCTCCCAAACCTTTGCGTTCCCCTGAGTAACTCCTTGTGAGAGAACACAAAGTTTCTCGGTGGAACTCAAAAGTTTAAAACATTGAAAAATAATATTTCCTCAATCTCATTTTTTTTTTCTCTTCACCATGTCCTTTATGGGCACTGGAAACAATGTACACTTTTAGTTTTAGCCCCTTAGAAAATTGTCAATAAGCGGCTTTCATTTGAATTTATATCACGTTCTTTCCATAAAATATAAAATGTCTAAATGTTTTAGTATATAAATGTACTCGGTGTGCTATCTTAGAGTTTTTCTACAGGACATGTGAGGCCATCATGTCTTCAATCACTTCTGAGTCCATCTGGTAAACATTTATTTGACTGTCAAGTACAAACTTCAGCACAGCATGTCATTGGGACCTGGAGTTCCGGAAATGTCTAATAACATGGAAACAGGCAACAAATATCCAAGCCTCACTGACCTTGTCTCTCCATCCTGTCTCCTTGAAAGCCAAGGCAGGGTTGGCAGACATATGGTAAGGCTTGTCCTTTTATCTAACGCTAATTTTATTAGCTTTACCATGAGAGATTAGATAAGCGGTAGAAATTAAAGAGAGGTCTTTATTGGTCTGGTCTTTATGTTAGCACCTTGGTCATGTAAAATAGCCACAACTTTTTTACATATCCACACTTCAGGCCAGCTCAC